CTGGTCTTGAACTCTTGACCATGTTATCCACCCGCCTCGGCCTCCCAAAGTGCTGGGATTACAGGCGTGAGCCACCACGCCTGGCCAGCCACATACTCTTTGATTGCCTCTTCTTATGACAACTTCATAATAGTTAATAAAGAAAAAAATAGAAATACAGTTCAATCTTTCCTCTCACATACGTAATTGAAATTATTATTGAAATTTTGAAAACTTTCTTTTAGTGTCACAATTTATTATGAGTGAAGTCATACGAATTTTCAGGAATACTGTCAAATTTTGGTAAACCTCTATTAAGTTGTTTTTTGATCTTTGACTATAAGATTTTCCACAGTTTAGCTTCTGAATTCATTCATACCTCTCAAATCTTGAATCTCCTCCATGCCCACATACTACCAGTACCAGGCACCACAGGACCTGTTCATGGCTGCATACGTCCTATGTATGGGCCAGCCCAGCACATTGGATGGTAGGGCTATTTCTAGAAACTATTTCTATACCAAGGCAGCTAGCTGTACTTGGAGGTAGGTGCAAGCCAGGTAAATAAATGCCACTAAATCCACACAAAAAAATCTCCCCATTCACCATCCCCTTAATTAAATCTCAAAAATGTCCTATGCCACTGTACACCTTTCAGCTGAAGAGCAAGTGTGATGGAGGGGAGGAAGTTGGAGAGTGAAACAAAAATCAATCCTATTATAACTATGAGAGTTAAAATATTTTATTGTTACAAAATTTTACAAAAACACATGAGCATGTTCAATCAGTATCTAGGCCCCAAAAGATAGAATTCTATTTGGGAATAAGCTATCAAAAAATATTGTCTGGAAAAAGGAATAGTGCACAATATATTTTTTGTGACACTGATCAAATTATATCTGCTTTTTAGCTAATCCATTGATAATTAACGTATTGCACTAAGGTATTACATACCCAATGTGAGCTTTCATCCTATTTCATGGGAAGGAGAGGGTAGTCACAGAAATATTATCACCAGACACTGCCTTTGAAGAGCTACTGACCTGACAGAGGCATCAAAATCTATAAGCATTCATTTTCTCCTTTAAGGGACTTGATAGATTAAAAGCAAACAATAAGGCTGGGCTAGATGGCTCATGCCTATGATCCCAGCACTTTGGGAGGCTGAGGCAAGCGGATCCCTTGAGGTCACGAGTTCAAGACCAGCCTGGCCAACATGGTTAAACCTAGTATCTACTAAAAATACAAAAATTAGCCGGATGTGGTGGCACACACCTGTTTTCTAAGCTACTTGGGAGGATGAGGCATGAGAATCACTTGAATCCAGGAGGCAGAGGTTACAGTGAGCCAAGATTATGACATTGCACTTCAGCCTGGGCCACAGAGCAAGACTGTGTCTCAAAAAAGAAAAGAATAAGATGAATATATCTTGTCATTAATAATATCTTAATTTTGTATTACAAACAATAATTACATGAAAAAATAAAGGCTAGAGTAGAGCTCTTTAAAAAATAGTTTGGTTGGAGATTCACAGTGAGTTTGCTCAATAAATAATGCTTACCAAGCTATAGTATGCATTGTTTTATCTTGAATACAAAGCTATTTAACTTTTGCATCAGTTTTATGGTTGAGGGACTAGAGCACATGATTAAATTTACAGATAATAGCAAATTAGAATAAATGGTTATTACTCTGGAAGACAGGATTAGAATTCTAAATGACTTTATAAAGCTGGAGAAGGAAGCTTGTAAACTAATGAGCAACAGCATTGAGAAATGTATGGGGAAATATACTTGGGATTTTTTTTTAAAAGCTACACAAACAAAATATAGCAAATTCCTGAACAAACTTTTTTAAAATTAATTAATTAATGTTTGAGGTAGGGTCTCACTCTGTTGCCCAAGTTGGAGTGCAGTGGTGTGATCTCGGCTCATTGCAACCTCTGCCTCCTGGGTTCAAGTGATTCTCATGCCTCAGCCTCCTGAGTAGCTGGAATAACAGGTGCACACCACCGTGCCTGGCTAATCGCTGTATTTTTAGGAGAGAAGGGGTTTCACCATTTTGGCAGGCTAGTCTAGAACTTCTGGCCTCAAGTGATCTGCCCACCTTGACCTATGAAAGTACTGGGATTACAGGCATGAGCCACAGTGCCCAGCCGACCAAACTTTTTTAAATGTGGAAACTGTCATTCATCACACATTGAACACACATCAACAATGTATGGCAATTATGTTTTGTAAAAAAGTTTTACTTTGGACATGGTTTAACAGTGTAATTGGAAGGAAACAGAAAGCAAATGTTTTTCTGCTACATCTGGTGCCATGCAATCTCTCTGGCATCCAGGTTCACTCTAAGTTAGGAGCAATGGTTCTCTAAGGACATTTGAATACAGAACTTGTACACCTGATACATTTCTCCACTGAGTGAAAGTAATGACACAGAAGCCATCACCACACACACACACACACACACACACACACACACCTCTAAAACTGGGGTCTAAGTCAATGCAGTACTTACAAAACATTTATGCTGGGCGCAGTGGCTCAAGTCTACAATCGCAGCTACTCAGGAGGCTGAGGCTAGAGGATTGCTTGAGCCCAAGAGTTAGCCCAGGCAACGCAGCAAGACACCATCTCTATAAAAATAATAATAAAAATTGTCACCAGGCATGGTGGCTCATGCCTGTAATCCCAGCATTTTGGGAGGCCAAGGAGGGCAAATCACTTGAGGCCAGGAGTTTGAGACTAGCCTGGCCAACATGGTGAAACCCCATTTCTACTAAAATTACAAAAAATTAGCCAGGCATGGTGGCATGCTTGTAATCCCAGCTACTCAATTTAGGAACCTGAGGCATGAGAATCACTTGAACAGGGAGGCAGAGGTTGCAGTGACCCGAGATTTCACCACTGCACTCCAGTCTGGGCAACAGAGCGAGACTCTGTCTTAAGGGGAAAAAAAAGCAATAATATGCATTTCTCTCCTTAATTAAATGGTGAATAAACTTCATTTATTCTAGAACTAAAATTAGTGGCATTTGCCAGTTGTACATATGTGTCAATTATTCTTTCAGGGATAATATGAGGTATTGAATGTTAATAAATGTAGAAATATTTATAAAAATCAATGTAATACTTAGAGCAACATCACAAACACATTTATAGTAGCCTTGATAAGTTAGTCAGAAGGATTGTGGCCCACCCATATCAAAGGATCACAAAGCTGACAGCCTTCCAGAAGATTATGGCTAGTTAAAAATCAATAGCTATATTTAGGCTGGCCACGGTGGCTCATGACTATAAGTCCAGCACTTTTTTATTTTTTGAGACAGAGTCTCGTTCTTGTCAACCAGACTGTGATTCTCCTGCCTCAACCTCTTGAGTAGCAGGGATTACAGGCGTGCGCCACCATGCCCAGCCTGTAATCCCAGCACTTTGGGAGGCCGAGCCCAGTGCATCACCTGAGGCCAACAGTTGCAGACCAGCCCAGCCAACAAGATGAAACTGTGTCTCTACCAAAAATACAAAAATTAGCTGGGCATGGTGGCAGGTGCCTGTAGTCCCAGCTACTCAGAGGCTGAGGCAGGAGAATCGCTCAAACCCAGGAGGCGGAGGTTGCAGTGAGCCGAAATTCTGCCACTGCACTCCAGCCTGGGCAACAAGAGCTAGATTCTTGGGGGGGGGGGGGGGGGGAAGGAAAAGGATAAAGAAGAATCAATAGCTATGTTTAATTTTGGCACAGATCATTTTATCACTCTGCATTACTGGTATTTGAAAACCAATCACAAAAGTTTAAGGATATCCCATTAATTTCCCTGTGAGAGTGAATTATATAACAAGATTAGATTAAAACTGTGGTATTCAAAAACATCTGAACTCAGGAATTTCATGGGAAACAAATCACCATTTATATTTTATCCATATAATTTTAACCTGTTTTAAAATTGGTGTATGATTTACAATATTTTTCCTCTGTAACATTTGTGTCAGTTGTGATAACTGTGTTTTGTCCTCAAGGATAATAAATACTCTAAAGAATTTCTTTATAGTATTTCCTAATTTATAGAAAATAAGTATCACTACAAGAAAAAGCAGTCTCAATTTTTATTGATTAGGAAAGGTTTTATTACATTATTTATGTAAATAATGATAAATACAGCATTTAAAGTATAACATATTTGATAGTCTTAGCAGCATAGAGTCTTTTTGTAACATAAAGTTCCCCCTAAAGCATTCCAATTTAAAATTTTCCTCAAAGCAAAAAGCTCTATGACTTAATTCTGAGGATTGGCACTTCAACTGGGTAACATGTCAAATGAGTTAGAGAAAGTGGGAAAAGACAGAATAGGAGTAGTAATTGGGAATTAAGGTTAAATATTTTTTAAATTAAAATTAAATATTTATTAAATAAAAATTAAATTAAATATGTTTAAAACTAAAATGAAAGGGGCTTCCATGGATTCATGATGATAAAGTGAGTGAATTAGGGAGAATAATGTTCTTAACCATTCTTAAGTTTACAAGTATTTTTAAGAGGGCGGGGAGAGTAGAAGTATTTCCTGGTCGAGGCAAAATCCATCTAACCACCATGGTTTTCAAATTTTCACTAGAGCAGTGGTTCTCAAAATGTGGTTCCTGGACCAACAGCATCAACGTCCCCTGGGAATTGTTAAGACTGCAAATCATCAGGCCCTATTCTAGACCTAGTGAACCAGAAATTGTGCAGTGGAGCCAGGAATCCTGATTTACCAAGCTCTACAGGTGATTCTAAAGCAGGATAAAGATGAAAAACCATGTTAGTAACACCTGGGAGATTTCAACACTACCAATGCCCAGGCCCAGGCTCAGACCAATTAAATCAGAATTTCTGGAAACATGGTTTTGGCATCAATAGGGTTTTCAAGGCTCCCAGTAGAGAACCATTGCCTTAGAGAGTACCTTTTCACCCCAGGGAAAAAAGCCAACTGGCTGAGTGCCGAAACTAACCCTCACTCAATGGATTAGTTGAATTCTGCATTTGTTTGTTTTACTTCCTTTTACAATGAAAGTTTTTCCTCAAAGAAGTGTGAAACCACAAGCTGAGTACAATCAGTCAAGGTTGATTAATTCCACTTAAACCATTAACACCCTTGTCAGCAGATCAGAACCCTGAGGAAATAGGGACCCTACAGTTTACTTTGTGTTTCCATGGCAAGGGGGAAGGAGGGTGACTATCCTAACCTGTAGGGCACAGTGAGGACACCTCAACTGCCAAGAATCTGGAGAAAGGGCCATGGCCCTAGTGAGAGAGAAGTTGGGGAGAATCCTACCAATGGAATACAGGCAGGCCCAGACAGCAGTTTAAAAGAACAAAAAAGTGGATGTGGTGTCACAGACAAATTTCACTTGCATCAGTCAGCGTTTACCTGAGGCCAGTCTTGTATAGCCAAATGGAGATTAGTAAGAAAGAAAGATAAACTATCTCTGAAATTATTTTGCAAAATAGTGGGAAAATTTTTTAAATTTCCTGACATTAAATGTACATGCAAATTTTTAGAGGTTTATCT